AAATAAATAATTTTAAATTGATAATTACGAAAATGAAATATTATTTTTTAACGTGTTAGCAAATTCTTATTTTTTTGCCTTTTAATATTTTCATTAATATAAAATTATTTAATTAAGTCTCCGTTCGGTAGGCATTCTTACAATAAAAATGCATTTTTTGTGTCACATCAAGACTTTGCTACAGTAAAAACTCATTATTTGACTGTCCACTTTTCCCTCTTATCCCGGTTTTGCCCTTTTGCATGTGCTAGTTTCCATTGCTGTCCATGACAATAAAAGGGTAAAATCGTCACACTGCACTGTTGTGTCGGCTGATGCTACAGTGAATATTGTACTGGTTGTCTGTTGAACCTGTTCCAACGGTCCATTTTTTTCTAAATTGTCAGAAGAAAATGAGCCCCAAACAGAGGCTAAATATAATTTGTAAACTAATCTTTCATTTTTCAAATGTAATTAAATAAATGTATATTGTTTACATAATTTAAAATTTTCTTTTTGTTTCATTTTTTTATAAAAAATTAAATAAATAATTTTAAATTGATAAATATATATTATTTATATTTTTAATTTTAATTTTTTCATTAATAACTCTTTAATTAAATATTAATTGCCAACAAATCTTTACTTTTTTTTTATTTTAATTAAATAATATTTTTTTCTTTATTTAATTTTATTAATTTCCTTTTATTAAATAAAGCATTTTAAATCATAGGCATTATCATCATCTCCATCTGAATGTCTCCGAGGAGATAAAGCAAGTAATTCATCATTTGTAAATTCATTTATATTATCGTTGTCCTGAACCATCGATTGAATTTTGTGCGTCCCAGGGATGTCACGATGATGAATAATTGTCTCGAAAATATTAGCTTTATCCTCGCAAGCTATTTTCAATGTATCCCAAAAATCATTTGCGTTATCATCAACTCCATCTGAATGTTCATTTCTACCTTTCGCGTCATCCTTCCTCACTAAAGTCACGCAAATCAGTGTCATTTGCATTTTTTCACTTAAACAAATAATTTACTTCAATATCAGATGTAACCTTCATATGTAGATTTGAAAATGGCAAATACTCTTTGAATTGAATTATCAGTACCATATCTTATCGAGATGAATCAACGTTTAGCTTGTTCTATATATTAAGGTACTTAAAAGTTGTGTCGAAGCTCACGATGAAGACTCGAGAATGTTAGGGGTCANACTCACAATGAAGATTCGAGAATGTTAGGGGTCAAATTGATACAACTAAAGATCAAAAGGAGTGAAAACAAGTCAATTTTCCACCGCACAAGAATGTTCAAATTTTTAGTTGGAGATTGAAATCCATTTTTGGCATAGTACATGTTCCAATTGAAAAAGAGCTATTTCTAGTAAAGTTGTAGCCTTTGAGTTATCTTTCCAACGCATTTTAAATCGTCTTAATAGGATATCGGAAACAAAAGCTACGACAGAAATACTCAAACAGCCTCAACTGTTAACAGCCGACTTTTTCGGTCGGCCGAATTTTCGGCTGTTAACAGCCGAATTTTCAGCTGTTTGTGTCGATTGTTTTTTCGTAACAATAATTTTATTTGTTAACTAATGGTAGTATTGTCTTTTTAATCAAACCATATTTTGTAATTGTTTTATTCACTTAAGGGTTTTTTTTTGTCTTTTGAACTCAAATAGGCCACTTTAAAATTATTCACTTGTAAAAAAGTCAAAAAGCAATTAGAGGCCTTTGACCAGGCCTTTTTTAAAGTTACCCCCTTATGTTAGACGACATTGATTATGAAAAATCGAACAAAATAATGTAATGTAGTACCATGAGTTGATGTAAAACAGGAAGATTTTATATTCCTACTTATTCTCTCATATAAGTAACACTACCAAGTTACATTCCTATACACAGTGCAGCGTAGGCTAGAAGGCAGAAGGTTTCGTAGCAACTATTACACAACAGGAACCAGCCAAACATTACAATATAATACACAAGAAGGAGAGAAACACGAACACATACACGGGACTCCATAGACAACCACGACCTTCACAGTTTAAACAAGGAAAATCGCCTTTGTCAATTACTTCTTCCATTTTGCTTTCCTCGTTTTCCTCTTCCAGTGCATGCCCACATAGCTTACGAAATATAGAGCAAGAAGTACTAAGTATAACTTTTGGAGTAGATCGACTATAAGTATTGCACACGTTCCCATTGCAAGACCAAAGGCGATTGAGTTGTAAATCATATATAATTCTTCCAGCCTTAATAGTTTTTTGTCTAAGTTGGTGCTAGTTGAATTGGTTGAAGTAGGGGTAGTGATCAGGTCTTGAAATGTAGCAGTTGCAATAAGCGCAACTACTACTAGGATAGCGTTTCGCATATTCCCTGACAAACCAAACTCCATGTAAGCACCAAATTTGATAAAAAAATCTTCCATCGTTCTATTTGACTTCAAATAATTTTCACAACTGGTAGCATCATCGACAAGTGATGAACCTTCTTTAGCTCCTGCGCTTATTAAAATTTTCCTTGCTTCTACATTTTCAGGTTTTAGGATATCCAACGCCGTCTCACCTCCTTAGTTCTTCTTATTCACATGCACATACTTGATTAATGACTTCAAAACCTGAAACCATAAACAAGAAGTTTTATAAAATTATAACTGAACAAAAAAAGGGTGAGCAGATTTAAAGAAAAATGAGAACCATTCTATTTTATTGATTTTTATTAATTTTCTGGTATTTTTAACTAAGCGAATTTATAAATAAGTTTTCTGCATGATGTGTCAGTTTGAAGGAGTATCAACTATATCACAATCCTCTTCAAGTTTTAGTTTGACCTCGAGACAATTTTGATAATTCCAGTCAAACTTGTGCGTGTGAAAGGTGGATTAGGACTTTGATCACTTTGATTGTAATTCTTTTATCAATAAACTCGTTTAATTCAATTTGTATTGTCAAAAAGTACCAATTTTATTCACAAGGGTCAAAATTAGTAGTTTAATGATGGGTGATTAGATAGACTTCTCAAATCTGCAGTCAGTATTCTTTCAAAATTTGAATTATACCAAGTTTACCAAATACCTAAATAATTTTGACAGTTCGCGCAGGAGACCAAAACGTTGGTTTACACAAAGCCAACTTTTAATTAAATTTTTTTTAAATTTTTTTGAAGGGCTGTCAACG